TGTTATAAAATTCGTCTGCACCATTTTCGTGTAACTGAATTCTAAAGATGTCATTGTTGTAGTGACATTTTCAACAGTATTCTATTGAATTGTATAGGAAATTCGTCGTTTTTGGCTTGTTTTCAGGCAAGGTTTTAATTAAAAAAATATTCATAACTTCTAAATTGTGCAGACAAATTTGTTTATCCTTTGGTATTTAAAAAAAGAATTGATTTGAAATAGATCTATGTGAAAAAATGAGTATGTCATTTTGTCCTAATTTAATTGAAGATAATTGCTTTTATATTGAAAAGTGTTGCATTTTTAAGAACAACGTCATAAAATATCGCGACGTCACGCTTGACGTCGTGAATATCAATCCGGTATACAAAGCAAAAAAAAAATTATACTGATTTAAGAAAAAGGAAATTCACGTATATCTGCTTTCAAATGACCAATATCATAATAATTCAATAAAATAATTATTAGACATTTTCTCTTTAAGCCTATTACGTCTAATATTAGTGAAAATTCACGTAAAAGGCGTAAACCTATAATCAGTCCCTTAGCTTCTTTTTTATATATATATTTTCTTATATGTTGATTTCTTACCGTTTCTTTTCTTTTTGTTTTGTTTTTTTTCATGCGCGGATTCTTGCCGGAATTTGCAAAATAAAAGTGACCTTGTATTCCCTTCTTGAAAAGGCAGACCCCCCATTCCCGTTGAAATCGCAGATCTGTAATTAAAGTTTGTTTGAAAAGTTGTAGGTATGAAGATAATTTAGAAGTCAAGGACTTCTAACCCCCCCCCCCCCCCCCCCGAGATATGTTTTTTACACTTTGTATATATCCTTTTACTTTAGAAAATTCAGCAAGGCTATCAAATCAACAATAACTTCTTATAAATCAATTTCCGCCAGATATCCTCCCGCGTATAAGTATTGTGTATATATTGAAAATGTTTTTATGTAAGTTTACAAAGAGGCAGCGAATAACTAAATTAAATCTTAACTTGATTTTATTTTTTGCTGAAACGTATTAGAATAGAAAAAAAACGTACAAGGAATTTTTAGGGGGGTAAATGGGATGATAATTTAAACATTAATTTTATTTGGTGTAATCAACAGGCAGATTTTATTTTGTGCTTAGACTTTCAATGTATACATATAACCACAGGAGTTCGCGTACCTATCAATTATACCGAAATTTTCATTAAATAAAAAAAATATAGGTATTACGTATCTTTTTTATTTACCAAAAATTTCGGCAAAATTTATAGGTACGCGAACTCCTGTGATATAACATTAATTCTACTGAATGAACATGGAAAGCAATGCAGCGAATAGAATATTTACATGTAACTAACAACAACGCATACCGTTACACAGGCAAATGGGGTATTGCCCCCCCCCTTCTGTTTTTCTGGGGGGTTTCCTATTTTGGATTAATTTTTAATACATATTGCATGTTATTAATATGTTACCCTTTTATCTCTTTACGCTGTTTTTAAATACATATATTTAGTTTTCGAGTGATACATAAAAAGAGACGGCCTTTGTTTTTATTCTCAACGTCTGCCTCACTTAATTTTCACTTGATCACTATCTAAAGCTTAGATAATCATGGAATATGCAGACATTGATAAATTTGAAACACACTCTTCTTCCTTTTCAGATTTCCATTTATATAATTCTTTATGTGCCTCCGATTAGTAAATATTTCGATTAAATCAACATGCACATAAAGGGTGGAGTTAAAATTCAAAATTAGGAAAAAAAGTTTACCCACCCCCGGCATTAGCAAGTAAAACAAATGGAAAGGAGGGAGGGGGTCATATCCTAAGTACCTGTGGTTATTTACAAATATCAATGCCGCTCAAAAAATGTATTTAATTAAGTTTATGTTTCATCAGTATTACCCAGTTAGTGCCTCAGCAGTTTTTTAAAATTTGTGATTAACCTGTATATAGATTTGTCCGAGATTAGCACATACCTTTTCAGAATTGAGTTCGACTTTCCATCGGTGAGCAGAGTTTTGACGCTGTTTACGGAGATAGATGAAAACAAAGAGATGCATGCATATATGGTTGAGTAGATAAATTACTGTAGAAGACATTGGTAATAAACAGTTTGTTAGCGCATTTCCACTGAAAGTGTAAATATCGAGTGCGTTTCTGAGGAGGTAGTACCGAGTGTAATTCGGAGTTAGATAACCTGCTTTATAATTATATACATTTAATATTTATAAATCATACATGATACAAGGGTTAAAATTTATTTCCGAAACAAGTACATGCATGTGCTCTCTGAATAGACCCGAGAAGATGTAATTGATAACACATAATGAACGCTTTCTAATACTTTCAGTGATGGTCATTCGAATCAAAATGAGCCTTCATTATTTTAAATAACTTCAGCATGTTCTTTGTTTACTGTTACACTAAACTACCAATTTCAACAAAAGTTACAGCTAGATAATGTACTGAATTTTTCCCTTTCTCACCGTGACATCATAATCAGATGTGCACAAGAAAGTCACCAAAATCATGTAAATTGTGTACCCAGTTTGAATGACGTCAGCAAACCCGCGACCTACGTTAAGTCCCAACTGCTACTTTTCTCTTCCTTTATTATAAGTACAAACCAGTAGAGCTACAGTCTCAACAGAGACTTCTGGTTTAAAATTGATTTTGTATTAATTAATTATAGAGGGAGATAACTCTTACCAAATTTCAAGGTAATAAATTAGGACACATCCCACCCTTAGCATGCTAGTAGTAATAAAGGGGAATGATGTTTAATACAGTGTATACAGAGTATTTTAAGACCTACACATCTTTGATGTATTCAATTTCATTAAATCTGTTGCTTTTAGGGACTAAATACCTTAATTTGAAACAGACTTTATAAAATTATAATATTGTTTACATGAAATATATGATTTTTTATGTTGACATTAATTCTGTGTATTATGTCTACCATCTTAAATAATATGGCAACCTATACAATTTTTTTGCAATAATTGGTAAATTTTAACGATATTAGTTAAACTTTGAAAGACTTTAAACATTGCAATGACCCAAATGAAAAAAAGGGGGAAACAAAATACTATAACAAACTACTTACAAAACATATGTTTTGAAAGTGTTTTGATAGTATAGCAAATCACATGCAAATGAGCTAACAAAACACTATAACAAGTTCCCAAATGAAAAAGAAATCTAACAAAATACTTTCAAAATATCTTCAAAACACTACCAAATCATACTTTTATATTTTCTTAGTATGTTTTGAAAGTGTTGCATTTAATGAAACATCAATGCTATACTTTACAGGATGGGGTGGCATGGTATTTTGTTAATGTTTCATTACAATGTTGGTGTTTTATTAATGTTTCATTACACTCTGCAGAATGAAATTGCATTTTGAAAGTGTTTCATTATACTTGTCTGCATCAAATTAATATTTTGTTAGCATTTCATTTGATTAACAGACATGTTTAGGGTTGACTTATCTAAGAGCAGTAAAATCTTCCAAGAACAACTTATCTATCCTGTGTTACTAGTTTTGCGCCAATTTTCAAACCACCAGCACTAGGTCAGAGAGAAACATAGAGATTGGTGAAGGGACATGTAAAGTGTTAGTATATATATTGATCCCTGATTGGAAAAAGCAAAATCAGGATGAATCTGGATATAACAGAGGTATTTATTTATTGCATGACATAAAGTTCTTTTAAACTGGACTACAGTTAAACCTTCAATCTGTGAATGTGGATGTGTATATGGCCTGTTTTTATTGGGTTTTTGTTCATTTTAAGAATTACTTTGAAAACACTCTAACAAACTACTAACAAAACGCTTTAACAAAATACTTACGAAACACTCTAACAAACTACTAACAAAACACTGTGTTTTGATAGTATTCCATTAGTATAGAAAATCACATGCAAATGAGGCTAACAAAACACTCTAACAAAATACTAACAAAGCATAAGTAACAAATCATCAATAAACCACTAAATTTGAATTTTTAAAATTATAATTAGCAAATTCACAAGTCTTTGAAAACATCTAAACACAGTCTCATATTGAAACATTATTTATAAACATCTTGTTTCACAGTATTTTGAATTCCAGGTTTGACATTAATTGTTCAATAGACAATAGCACATGTACACCATTCAAACATTTAAAAACACCATGCAAGTTCGATTCATGATCACTCTCTTATATCGATCATTCTCTGCAGTGAAATCCTTTGGTGTAAGAGATATAATTCTCAATCCATTGACCATTTCTCCATTCACATACATTTTCACAGAATTTTCAAGTATATAATTATAATTCATTTAACCCAGTGCTTAAAACTGATCTAAGCTGGGTAGTATATGGATTAAAGGTCGAGTTGCCATACAGAAAAATCTAAACAAGAAGTAGTCTAAAATATGAGTACTGTAAATCACTTTTTATTCTCGAGAACTTTATTTTCGCGTAATTACGCGAGTTTCTCTGCTCATGAAAATTTATTCTCGCGTATAATTGTATTAGTAATGTTTAAAAACAACTAACCACAGGTCGCAAAAATTTTGTCTCGTTAATAAATATCAAATAGCTTAGTCGTGAAAATAAGGTATCGCGGAAATTTAGTGCTCTACAGTATTCTCCAAAGAAACTTTAAGGGTTGGTTCCTACGTTTTCATTTTGCAAATTTTCTTTGTTTTGAGCACTTGGAATGAGCACTTGCAGCCATACTTGAATTAAAATTATTGGAGATGATGTATTGCTACTGAAGCCTCCCCATGGTTTAAGATTGAGAGACTCCTTAGTGTTGGGTGTGGCCATCATATGAATTCTAATAAAAAAAAAACTTTTAAAAACATCCTCTAAAGAACAGCACTAAATTAACTCTATAGGGTGTTTTAGCCCATAGGCTTCTTTTTATTTAATTAAATGTGTTATATGTTTAAACATTCATTTAATAAATAATATGTTAATCCTACAATGAATATATTTTCTATAGAAAAAACATACAGAAAAAGAGGAAATGTTTGGCAAAATGGACCCTCTTCCTGCCAGAGTGTACAGTGAAATATACAAAAACACTCAGATGGATATTGATGGAAGAATGGAGATTTTTCAGGTAAAATGTTTTATACAGGTATGTTAAACATGTTAAAATTGTAACTTGTATTGATATTTCCAATAATACGTCAAATAACACTTAACATTCCAGTTTACACTTTTTAAGCTCACCAGAGGTGCTGAAAACTCAAGTGAGCTTTTCTGATCACCTGCTCTGTTGTCTGTACATCTGTCTGCAAACTTTCACTATTTTCAACTTTTTCACAAGAACTACTAGGCCAAATTTTAAATTTTTAGTGGGACCTCGGTTATAGAAAAAAATTGAACACAGTAATAAATCATGGATCATTGCGTTCACTTTGAAATACATGTATGAGATGAAATAATTTTTTAAAAGAGAAAAGAAAGAGAAAGATGACCAAAACAGTAATAAAAAGTATCTGTAGAGAAGAATAAATGTAGAATGCGACAAGAGCAGATTTAGACAGGACAGGGATCACTACAGTTCCAGAGAGAGAGAGAGTTGCTGATAATTCAGACCAGTTTACTCTTACGATTTCACCGTATTTTGTACGGATTTTTAGTATAAAATACGTCTCACGTTTTTCTATTATAAAACTATGGAAATTGGAAATATGTTCATTTGGAATATAGCAGTTAGTTTTCGTTATAATCTGTCTTAGTTAAAATCGCTAAAAAAGAGAAAGATTTAAACACATAAGAAAGTGGGTTTGCCAAAACGCTGTAGAACCATAAAATGACAAATACCATATTGTTAAACCATGTTTTTGTAATCTGATAAGCAGTTTTTCTCTCTTAATATATGTAAAATCAATGGAAAGTGAAATCTTACTGGTAAATGCCAAATCTCACAGACAAATCTTATCAAAACTACTGTGAGACAAAGATATGGGTAAACAGGTCTGATAATTGGAGACATACAAAAAAATATCCCCTGAATTTTTTTGCAGCCTTGATTAAATTGCAAATGAGTATATCATAAAACTTATGCAGTTTTGCTACTGACATGCATGGCCTGATACATATAGAGACTTTTTAGAGTTTTAATTTAAAGTAGATAGATGGTCGGTTATCTTGGTATGTTTTCCAGAATAGGCCATAATAAAAATATTCCTAGATTCTCATCCCCACCCGCCCCGATTTTATACCCCCACCTCGATTTATTTTATTTCATCTGTTTTTCTTTGTCTATATTTTGATTGGGATGGATATTCATCTACCATTCTACTTTCATTTTAAATCTTGTGAAAGTCGACATGATTTTGACAGCTGAAAAGATTGTAATTGCTGTAATACATGTGTATATATTTTAAACAAGGGTCATTGGTTGAAAAAGATCGGTGATGATGTGAAGTAAGAGATAATTGAACCTTTACTAAGACTTTTATTCAGGTATTGTAGATAAAATTACACCGATTGACCAGGTCAATAAAAAATCTGCAAAATTGAAAAAATAAAAAATATAAAATAAAAGCCACCCGCCCGCCTCGATTTTTAAAAAAATTCGGATGAGAATCTAGCAATTTATTTATTATGGCCATAATGAAGCAAGTGAACATTTGTCAAAGCAGAAGAGTAACAAAAAGTAAAGTGAAAACATCTCAAGTGATCGATAAAACAATAGTCGTGCATGTACATTTATGATGAACCACGAATAGCTACGTTGTGACCGTGCAGTATATTTGTTTTCAAATATTCCGAATGAATCATCTTTTTAAAATGAGATCTAATCTAACATAACTAAATCCGATAGTTAAAGACATCAGCTTTAATATACATGTATATTTAATTTAAACCCTAACTGAATCACTTTTAGAATAAATCTATATAAAATGAAAAACCATAGTTTGACTTGTATGAAATATTTTTAACATAAGTTTGACTTAGCTAAGACCTCTCTAAGTTCGTTTTATGTTACCATTTAAGACATACTTAAGTAGTACTAAGACAGGTCCTAAGATTGTGTCTTAAAACATACGTACGACCCTACTTAAGTCAAAAACTTAGCAAGCTTTATGTTATGAGCCCCTGGTTGAGTCAAGGAGACACCAGACAACCCCTTTAAGGAAATCCTAGATGAGGTTTATATAGTAAAAAGGAGTTGATCATGAAGAATTTACATCATTAGTGATATTTCTCTTGCATGAACACCCCTATATATAAATGTCATTTAAATATTTTGGTATTGATAGGTAATCAAAGAAGAACTGGCAACTCTAATCCAAGAATATGTTCGTTATACCCATGGTATCCCTGGGTTCTCCAATCTACCACCAACAGACCAAGCCAGGCTTCTGAAAGGTAAATTATAACTAAACCTCACAGACCGAGCAAGGCTTGTGAAAGGTAAAGTATAACTTAAAACTCTTAGACCAAGCAAGGCTTCTGAAAGGTAAAGTATAACTAAAACTCAGAGACCAGGCCAGGCTTCTGAAAGGTAAAGTATAACTAAAACTCATAAACCAAACCAGGCTTCTGAAAGGTAAAGTATAACTAAAACTCTTAGACCAAGCAAGGCTTCTGATAGGTATATTATAACCATGATAACTAAAACTCTTAGACCAAGCAAGGCTTCTGAAAGGTATATTATAACTAAAACCCTTGGACCAAGCAAGGCTTCTAGGCTTCTGAAAGGTAAACTTTAAACTACATATCATAGACCAAATCAGACTTCTGAAAAATAAACTTATAACTACCACACAGACCAAATCAGACTTCTGCAAGATAAACTTTTAACTACAAATCATATACTAAGCCAAGCTTCTGAAAGGTAAACTTGTCTTTTTTTAATTGCCTTGTGTAAATTCAAGGATATTACATGTTATTAGCTCACCTGAGCTGTTTGGATCAAAATTTGTCTGTTGTCTGTCGGTTGTTATTGTTGTCGTCATTAACTTTTCACATTTTCATCTTTTTAAGAACCACTGGGCCAATTTCAACCAAACTTGCCACAAAGTATCCTTGTGTGAAGGGTATTCAAGTTTGTTCAAATGAAGGGCTATCCCTCTTTCAAGGGGAGATAACATATAGGAAAAATATTTAAAACTGTTCTGCTCAAGAACCACAGGGCCAGGAAAGATGAAACTCATGTGGAAGCATCCTTGGATAGTGTAGATTCAAGTTTGTACAAATCATGACCCCCAGGGGTAGGGTGGGGCCACAGTGGGGTATCAAAGTTTAACATAGGAGTACATAGGAAAATCTTTAAAAATCTTCTTCTCAAGAACAGCAAAGACATGATTGTTCATATTTATATGGAAGCATCCTCAGGTAGTGTAGATTCTATTTTGTTCAAATCATGACCCCCGGAAGTAGGGTGGGGCCACAATGGGGGATCAAAATTTAACATAGGAATACATAGGAAAAATCTTTAAAAATTTTCTTCTCAAGAACAGCACAGCCATGATTGGTCAAAATTATCTTAAAGCAACCTCTTGTACTGTAGATTTAAGTTTGTTCACATCATGACTGCTGGGGCAAGGGTGGGGACATAATGGGTTATCAAAGTTTTAAAGAGGATTGCATAGAAAAAAATCTTTAAAATTCTTCTTCTCGGCAACAGCAAGGAAGTGATTGCATGTTCAGATTTATACGGAAGCATCCTCGCATAGTGTAGATTCAAGTTTGTTCTAATCATAACCCCTGGGGGTAGAGTGGGGCCACAATGGGTGATCAAGTTTTTACATAGGAATACATAGGAAAATCGTTAAAAATCTTGATAAGAACAACAAAGCCACAATTGATCATCAATATAAAAGCATTTAAAAAGGTAATGCAGACCCATGAGATAGAGGAGCCATTAAAGTGGATCATAGTTATACAAAGGAATATAAAAGCTATATCAATAAAAATTTTCATCTTATAAACAGCAAAACCATTATGTATCATATCAATTTAAAAGCATCTGTAGGAAGTATAATTATGTTAAAGTTTGTTCAAATACCCCCCCTATCTGAACCCACTTTTATATTTAAACATTTCAATGCTTATAAACTGATTTTTGCTTTTACCTAGCCAGTTGCTCAGGTGAGCGATGTGGTCGCTGTTTCATTTCAATTTCATTTTTGAAAATTTGATCTGAATAAAATTCATTTCCCATTTTATTCTCCCATTCAAAGTCCATTCAAACACCATTTTTTTGGGTCTCTTGTTAATTAAAATGAATAATATCCTCATTCTGTAATTGCCAAAACCTTTTCCTATCCCTTTGCGGGACCCTTGATGACTTATCAGTTTTACTGGGTATTGCCTCTTTAAATCATTTAACAGAAACTCTGGAGAACATAAATGAGAAATATTTGTCTGTGCATCTGTCTGTTCTGTACATTTAAGAAATAAACAACAGTGTTAAAAAGTTTTCTGGGAAATGAACTTTTAGTTGGTCACGTGATTAAATCCTGTGAAGCCCTAAGGGCTTCTCAGTATATTTGATCATGTACCAACTAAAAGTTCATTTCACAGTGAACTCTTTAACATTGTTGTTTATTACATATATTTACATTTGAAACGAATACATTTCAAGTTAAATTGTATTTATTACACGAAGGGGCCGACGTATTGCTATGTAGTGACACGCAATAACCAAGAAGTTGTTTGGTCAAAATATCACATCGCTTTGTGATCTGGTCGTGCTATGATCTCTGACCCCCAAATGAAATTCACACAGAATTGAACTTATTTTCTCTTCAATAGGTTCATCTAAGAAAGATATTTGCGAATGTAAATATAATGGAATAAAGACTTGTGTAACTATTTATAGATTCTGAAATGCTTATTGACTTGATGTTTCTAAAAAAATAAAAATAAACTTAAACTCCTGTTTATATTTCTAATGTTCTGCAATACAGTAATTGGTAAGATGCAACAATGCCTTGTCAGAATAAGGATCTACTTTATATTAAACATAATAGAGATGATTTTTAGAAATCAATACAAAATCAATACAAAATGTAATAAAACAAATGTAGCATCTTTTAAATTATTAAATTCCCTAAATAACTGTCTCAATATAAAGGTAAAACAATTACATTAAACAGCCCATATTTATTATAACCCCCACAAATGAAGTTTGGGGGGGGTATATAGGAATCACCTTGTCCGTCCGTCCGTCTGTCTGTCTGTGCAAACGTGTCCGGTCCATATCTTTCTTACGTAGGAACGTTAGAATCTACTACTACACACAAAGATTGCCCATGACCTAAGGGTGTGTCATGACCTTGACCCAAGGTCATTTGAGGAAGTTCAGGGTCACTGGAAGAAAAAATTCATAATTCCTGTCCAGTCCATATCTTTCTTATGGATACACCTGGTAGGTTCTAATTTCACACAAGGATTGCACTTGACCTAAGGGTGTGTATTGACCTTGACCCAAGGTCATTTGGGAAAGTTCAAGGTCACTGGAAGAAAAAATTCATAATTTCTGTCCAGTCTATATCTTCCTTATGGATAAACCTGGAAGGTTCTAATTTCACACAAGGATTGCACTTGACCTTTATGGGTTTCCCACGATGGTTTTTACTCTGGAGTTTCTTTTTTATCAATGATTTGAATTGGCAAAATTCAGAAATAATGAATACTGTAAACCAACTTTTATTCACGAGGACTTTATTTCACGATTTACGTAAGGCAAACTAGTTCGTGATGCTTAATTTTCGCGATCAAGCCTTTTTGGATCTGTTATTAATAGACACAGAAGTTTTAAGGGCCGGTTCGCGGCGAGAAATATTCGCGATGACAAGGCTCTCGCAAACCTCGCGAAAATTTCTCGTACACGAATAAAAGTCGGTTTACAGTATATTAAAAATTTGTGACACTAACTTGATAAAAAGTGCAAAAGTATACAGATTTAAGGTATAATGCAAGAATTATTTCAATAATGATTGGTCTAAAGATTAAAATGTTGATTTCATGTCCTTCAAAAGGTCTATTTAAGTCCAACTAATTTTTTTCAACCAGAATTATTAATTCAAACCAGTAATAAAAGCTACTGTTTCATCATCTTCCCAAGTCAAGAGTTTCTGATCCGCTCTACTCCACATAAACCCTTGACCGAATAGGCTTAGTTTGACGGGGATAGAAATACGTTCTCTGATTGCAAGTGTGCATGAACCAATCAAAATCTTTGTTCTGTTTAAACTGAAACGAAATTGTAAACAGAAAAACATGCCAGTTTTAGTCCCAAGATAACGTCTTTATCATTAAATAGCCCAGTTAAAGGTTTGTTTCAGCTTTTTAATTGAGATATATTGAATTTATTACCGAGTACTAATAGTATCTCAAATTCTCTGTTGAATTCGTTTACTCTGATTGGCTAATAACAGAGGTCAGTAGAGTTCAAAATGTGTCATCTCACTAGATGGGGTGACAGTAAACCATGTCAAACTTAGCCTATTCGGTCAAGGGTTTATGTAGAGCGGAGCGGATCAGAAACTCTTGACTTGGGAAGATGCTGTTTCATCAGAAATTATAATATATACTATAGCTTTTTTTTTTTTTATATTTAGAGCTACATGTATATGATGAGATATTTAACTGAAATGTGTATATTTTCTCCAGCTGCAAGACTGGAGTTTTTCTTCATTCTGTGCTACAGAAGTTTCGATTCCGAGACCAAAATGGTAATGACCTATAAAGGTCACGTATATCCCATCAGACAGTACTATCCCTACATCACAGAGGAGATGGCAGTTAAATGGCTGAACATTTCTAATGATGTTAGAAGTCTCCATCTGACCACACAGGAGCATGCTGTTATTTTAGCTATATGTCTGACATTTACAGGTAAGGATCAAAACATTAAGGCTATATAATCATGTCATCGGTCTGACATCAGTCTGTAGGGAAATATGGCAGCTTTAAGCCAGATTTAAAGTTTGGTCGTTCTGAATCAAAATGATGATGTGACAGAACTGCTATCTGGGGCCCCTTTTTCTACAACAAATTATATTTCATCTTCAACTATTTTGATATTTTTCAAACATGAGTGAATAAATATGATGCCTTTTGAATCGTTTCAATAAGTTCCGACATATTTTATTTATAAGGAATACTGCATTATCTATGACATTTTAGACCCTATCACGGCAAAATTCAGCCTGGTTTGTGACAATATGTTCTTTTATGAAAGAGCATGGGCGGATCTTAGTACAATAGAGGATATGCATGTCCGAGGAGTCTACCTTTTATGGCAATGTCATTATTTCACACGATAGTCACTTATCGAAAACAATTGTTCAATCTGATGACAGAACGAAAAACATGCTGATTTAAAACTACACTTTGACATTTTATCACAGACACATGATTTAGGTCTATTTACCTTTTATCCTTAAGTTTTCTACATTTCAAACTTTTAATTGTCAGCCAAGGCTGTTTTTACTTAATAATATGCATGGCTTATTAGCGTTTATTTAGGTCAAGAAATGCACATGAAACTTGAAACTTCACTGATACTCGGAAATACATGTAGACAATACAGCTAGCAAATTGCCTACCAAACACTTTACAAAACTTTAAACTGTGTATATTTATCAATCAGATATTTGTAATTGTGATCTTGGAAATCGTACATGTGTAGATCCGTGTCCAATCTGTGCTCAAATGCATAAAAAATATTTAATAGAAACCAGGTAAAATAAGCCTTTTTTCCAAGCATGAGATCTCCTTTATATTATTGTGGTACTCACTCGTAACGCATCTCACATAGCTGATTGGTCAGTTAAAAAGTATCGCCAAGGCCTTGATTAGCATATGAATTTATTTTTACATCAGAAAATCCTGTTCCGTCGATCTGTTCATAATGGTAAAGGCTAGCTAGATTTTACAATTTTTTCAAAAATAGCATGTGAGTGCAGATAGATACAATTTTCTCCTTTCACATATAGGTAGATTTCAATAAAATACAGTGACCAGCCTTAGGAGAAAATTGTACCTACCTATTTTAAGGGCTTCAAAGAGTGGGGCGGGGTCAAAATTCAATGGGAATTGGATGTAAACAATTGATACCCCTACCCAAATAAAAGATCTATATCTTTCAAATCTCATTTTTTATTTTTGTTAAAAATAAAAATAAAGGTACACATATCAAAGATTAGTTAAATACAAAAATTTGAGTAAAATTTGGACATTTAATTTTTTGTCAATTTACGGTGGCCATTAGTCACCTCATCCTTTGTCCATGTGTCTAGCTGCCTGTTTGTCTTATTAGTCCCTTACTGGTGAAACCAAGGGGGCTATAGGTTTCCTCTTAGTATGTCAGTCCATCTGTCTGTCTAGCTGTCCATCAGTCTGTCTAGCTGTCTATCAGTCTGTCCCATTTGGTTTTCCGCACTTTTTTTCTAACTTTTTTTCAGGGGTTGTGTTGTTAGGTGGGGCTCTATTGATTTTATACTGTAGATTCCTTATTTTTCGTGATAACTTTTTATCTCGAACTGGCTCTTAGATGTCAAATCGCGAGAATTATAATTCGCGAATGGATGGTTGATCAATAGATTTTACATAGATTTCAGCACAATAAAAATAAAAGCGAGTAATATTTTTCGCGAGTGATGCTTCTCTCGATATTACGAGGAAATTAATTCCTTGCATTTAATTAGGAATCTACAGACTAGTGAAAATGTATTAATTCTTTGAAAATCTTCTTCTCTGTTTCTGGGTATTAAATAAACTAACTAAGTACAGGGTGTCCCATAATATATGATACCATTTTAAATTATTGTCATAAACGCAAGTCTTGGCCAATTTCTTTGAATTTTGTCTCATTTAATAATTGAATAAATACAATTTTTAGCAACAAATAATTTCAGTTAAAAATTGTCACATCCTTGGAATAATGTAGCCACATAATTACGTCAAAGATTGCTAAAAATGCATGTCAAGCAAAATGGATTACCGGTAATCATTGACAAACAAGCTTGGTATACCCTCATTTAAAAGCTAATTATCGAACCCAGTCTTAAGATATTGTTACTAAACTTAAATCTAAATCTTAAATTTGTGAAAAGGTATGTTTTCAATGGAAATCCAGATTATAACCAAAGAAAACCGCACTGTTGTCTTAAGTTATGGAATTTTGTGCAATGTCTTGACATAATCATTACCCAGATTTGACGTCATGTAGGGGACATAATTGAAAAAGGATAGCATTTTTCAAAGTGAAATCATTTTGTCGTGTTCCTTTCAATGATCGTCACATTGTGTGAATAAAATTGGACAGTATATGCAATGTTTATTGTGCAGTAGTTGTTATTCAAAATTCATTACATTATATTTTATATAATCATGAAATGGTATAATATATTATGGGACACCCTGTACATAGTTATAATGATCAAGAGTGCCTCTTCTAAAATTTTGAATTTTATGGCCCTAGGGTCAGAGGTTCTTTTGTTATCCTTTTTCAGGGGGGGGGGGATGCCAACTTCTTTCAGTACCAATTTTTTTTGCATACAATACTGCATTTCTTTTCTTTACCATAGTATTAACTTGGTGGGCCAACCTGTATTTCAATAAACAAGTAATGTTGGGAAAAAAGTGGGGGGGGGGGGGCTGTTGCTACGTGCCTGTCAAGTAAGTTGAAAAGCACTTGCTAGGGATTCTGAAAAGAATTCAATTTTTAATTTTTTTAGTGTTTAAAAATTTTGCACATTACTTGTATCTTGGAAGTCAGCTTGACATACGACTTCATTAATTGTAAGTGCATTTAAAGTAAAGACAACTTGAAGTCAATTGCTTGTATTCCTAAAATTGTCAGATTTAACAATTTTTTAAAGCAAAATCTAAAGTCTTGCGTTAAAGTTAAATCAAATTGAAAACATTTTATTAAAAATTTGTGATGATCAGTCTTTAAAAAAGCTACAAAAAGTACCCCCTGAATGCTGGAAAATGCACCATTTAGAACCATTTAAAACAAAAACCCCTCCTATGGGAGGGGCACACCCCCTCCCATGCCCTCCCCCTTCGGCCCTTTGGGCCTCAAAAATCCCCCACATGAACTTCTGGATCCTCCACTGGTATTAATCAAACATTTTTGATGAGCAAGTGTGCCTTTTCAAAAATTGTGCAATGTGTAGACCTAAGGTCAGGGGTTCATGTATGGAAGTGGCACTTCTGATTATTGCTGAATATTACTGATTAGTTGATACGCATTTTCTGTTCCCCCTATCCTGCCTATGGGTAATTAAGGAGGCTTGGGGGTCTACAAATTAGCCACCAGGAATAACTTAAATCTTTAGATACGATATCTTTAGCTGTCAACCATCATTTGACAAAGAAAAATTTCATACATATTAATTTTAAAATTTGATAATTTTTGTATATCTTTATATGGAGCTCTTCTTCTAAAGGAGATCAAAATAGTCAAAAAATGGCCATGACCACCTAACCAAACTAAGCAATTGCTAAGTTCATAGTTATGGTTAGCAATAGTGCCAGCCTCTTTCAGAATTGTGAATGCCTTAGCATCTACCTTAAAACATGAGCCAAATTCTATCATTTGAAAGTTGTTGCATGATTCTCAGGTGACCTATAAGGCCCATGGGTTTCTTGTTAATATTTCATAGTTGGGATTACGATCTGTTTTTTATGCACTAAATCAAAGTTCCAAACGAGCTTGTATCCTAAAGAGAAAAGGGGAACCTGGTAGGGGACATGTATAGCTTACTCCCAGAATGCTTGTTACGTTGGTATCACCTTATCATTTTCATCTCCAGAATCAGAGGACAAATTTTAAACAAAATTAGGCACATGTCATCCTTCATAAATGAAATTCAGCATTGTTCTTTGGAAGAGAAATCCCATTTAAATGGGAGATCATCGGTTTTGATTTACAAATTCTTTGACATTCATTAATCTGTTTTAGCTCTCTTGAGCCTCAAATAAGGTTTTTCTGATCAAAATTTATCCATTGCATGTTTGTCCTTGTTGTCATAAACTTCTCACATTTTTAGCTCACCTCAGTGAAGTTGGGGGAGGTTATGTAATACCCTTGGCGTTGGTGTCCCAGTTCTTAGGTCACCTGAGTAAACTCAGGTGACCTATTGCTATCTGTTTTCGTCCGTCGTCGTGCATTGTGCGTTAACATTTGAACATTTTCAGCTTCTTCTCTGCAACTACTGAACCAATTTCAACCAAATTTGGCACAAAGCATCTATGGATGAAGGGGAACAAAAATTGTTTATTTCATGATCCCTGCCCCCCTGAGGCCTGAGGGGTGGGGCCAAAACCACTAAAATTAATGTATTCTTTAAAAATCTTCTTCTTTATTCCTGGACATCAAACAGTCAAACTGTTTGCATGATTGTAATCAGCAATGAGTCCTCTACTAAAATTGTGAAATTCATGGCCCTGGGGTCAGGGGTTCTAGTGCTAGGGCGGGACTAAATAAGTATGTAGTGAAAATGCATTATTTCTTTGAAATTCTTCTTCTCTGCTCCTGGGTATTAAATAAACCAACTAAGTGCATAGTTATGATGAGCAAGAGTGCCTCTACCAAAATTGTGAATTTTAAGGCCCCAGGGTCAGGGGTTCTGGTGTTAGGGCGGGGCTCTATTGATTATATAGTGAAAATACATGAATTCTTTGAAAATCTTCTCCTCTGCTCCTGGGTATTAAATAAACTAAGTGCATAGTTCTGATGAGCAAGAGTGCCTCTTCCAAAATTGTGAATTTTATAGCCCCAGGGTCAGGGGTTCTAATGTTAGGGTGGGGCTCTATATATATATTATATAGTGAAAATACATTAAATCTTTGAAAATTTTCCTCTCTGCTTAAGGGTATCAAGCAGATGAACTACCTATATAGTTATGATGGACAAGGGCCCTAATCTTCCAGAATTGTGAATTTTAAGGCCCCAGGGTCAGGGGTACCATAGAGAGGGGGGAGCTGTACTTATATACTGAAAATGAATGAATGGTTTGAAATCTGCTCCTTGGTATTAATCAAATATCAAGGCCTAAGGGTTAGAAGTTCATGTGTGGTAGGGGCACTACTGATTATTGCTGAATATTACTGATTAGTTGAAATGCATTTTTTGTTCCCCTACCCTGCGTATGGGTATTAAGTAAACAAACTAAGCAACTGCTAAGTGTATTGTTATGATGATCAATGGTGCCTCTTTCAAAATTATGAATGCCATAGCATCTGGTTTAAAACATGAATCAAATTCAATCACTGGAAAGTTGTTGCATGATGCTCAGGTGACCTATAAGGCCCATGGGCCTCTTGTTTGGAGCAGTTTTCTTTTTAAGTACTTCTGTGTCCTACATTGTATTGTATATTGATTAGACATGTATGGAAGATGCCTCTAATGTGTTTCTTTGTACCAGTCCAAGTTTCAGATGCTGCAATTTCAGCAAAGGAATGACCAGGTTAATGTTTTTGGTGCAGGTTAACAGTTTTGGTGCAGTTTTTGGTGTAGGTCTCATTTCCAAGGAACTATAAGCCCTATGTTGACCAAGCTTGCATAGATGGTACATCTAAGGCTGCACATTACCAGGCTTCGGATGCTGAATCTGACCTACATTTTCCAGTTGAGTGAACAGGTTAATGTTTTGGTGCAGGTCTCATTTCCAAGTAACTATAAGCTCTATGCATGGAACTTGCATGGATGACACATCTACGGATGTAACCAGAACTTGCATGGATGACACATCTACGGATGTAACCAGACTTGCTTCTGAATCTGACCTACATTTTCCGGTTGAGTGAACAAGTTAATGTTTTTGATGCAGGTCTCATTTCCAAGTAACTATAAGCCCTGTGTTGACCAAACTTGCATGGATGATACATCTAAGGATGCGCATTACCAGGCTTGCTTCGGGTGCTGAATCTGACCTTCATTTTCCAGTTGAGTGAACAGATTAATGTTTTTGAAGCAGGTCTCGTTTCCAAGTAACTATAAGTCCTATGTTGACCAAACTTGCATGGATGAGACATCTAAGGATGTACACTACCAGACTTGCTTCAGATGCTGAATCTGACCTTCATTTTCCAGTTGAGTGAACAGATTAATGTTTTTGAAGCAGGTCTCATTTCCAAGTAACTATAAGTCCTATGTTGACCAAACTTGCATGGATGAGACATCTAAGGATGTACACTACCAGACTTGCTTCAGATGCTGAATCTGACCTTCATTTTCCAGTTGGGTGAACAGGTTAATGTTTTTGATGCAGGTCTCATTTCCAAGTAACTATAAGCTCTATGTTGACCAAACTTGCATGGATGAGACCTCTAAGGATGTACACTACCAGACTTGCTTCGGATGCTGAATCTCACCTACATTTTCTGGTTCAGTGAACAGGTTAAAGTTTTTGGTGCAGGGTTCATTTCCAAGATATATAGTGAAAATGCATAAATTCTTTAAAAATCTTCTTCTCTGCTCCTCGGTATTAAACCAATGAAAATCTTTTCCTTTGCTCCTTGGTATTATGACAATGATCTTGGTACATATTTATGATGAAGAAAGCTGCCTCTTCCAAAATGGTAAATTTCAGGGCCCATAGGTCAGGGGTACTTGGAAGGGGTGGGTTGGGTACACAGTCAATGCTTTGAAAATTGCTCTTTGGTATTTATTAACAATTTACGATGAAATAAAAAATTTTGATAAAATTTCCAAAATTTTGAAATATGTGACCCTAGGATCAGTGGTTCCATTGGGATGGATTGCACAACTGTTTATAAAGTGGACATGCATTTTCTCTTTGTTACTCTGATCTACCTCTAGGTATTCTCTGTAAGCATTTAAACTCTTATATAGGAAGTGTGGCACGTATGGTCTTGGATTTTTATGAAACTTGGCACACATTCCTATATTGATGTATGAAACTTAAAATCAGAATAAAATGGTTGCCATGGCCCATGGTTACCATGGCAACCAACATACAATTTTCATGGCCTAAAAATCGCTAAATTTTGATGAAAAATGACTTTTTTGATTTATCAAAAGTCTTTAATAGAACAAGATATTTACATGACTTTACCTTTTTGCCAAAATACACCATTTTATAGTTCTTTAGAAAATTTTTAGTAATTCAGTAATTTTACCTCATATAAAAAATATCTCCCCGTTTTTAGATAGGGTTTTTCTGGGGGAAATTGTAGATTTTGGGCTCTTTTGAAAAGCTTGGTATAAAATTTTGTGTACAGTTAACCAAAGTAAGCATTCAAAGTGTATAGTTATTATAAGCAATGGAGTCTCTTATAAAATTGTGAATCTTATGACCTCTGGTTTCAAACATGAATCAAATTCAGTGGTTGGAAAGTTGTTACATGACACTCAGGTGACCTATAAGGCCTGTGGGCCTCTTGTCTTTTCTATAATGTATCTTAAATGACCATCTTGATGATTTACTCCTACAGACAGGTGTGAACTCGATGCCAGAGACCAGGTGGAGAAGATCCAGATGCTTTTCATTGAGGCAATCCAATACTTACTTAAGAAGAGGGTTAAAGATGAGGGTGGAGTACATTTCTCTAAAATAATGAATGTGTTTTTGAAGTTGAGGGAGATGAATGAGGAGTTTCTCACATTTTATAAGAAGATGTGTGAGGATCCAATGATTCAGAAGTACATGCCAGAACTACTTCATTTCCTGATAGAGTGATTTTACTGCTCAATACACCCACTTATAGACATACTTATCAGTTTAATGGCACATGGACACAGATTCTACTTAATTTTTTTAGCCAAGTTTAATGTTTACAGGGGTGTGAATTACCATCACTCGATGCTCTAGGTTACCTATTTTAGAGGTTGGGCTATCATAAATCTATACTATGTTAGCCTGTTGGGCTAGTAAATCTAAAATGAAATTATATACTATGTATTAACGTAGACTGAATTGATGTATGGATTAACTTTGTTGTAAAATCATGTGTGTTACTATTGCCAGTCGTTTCAGTGACAATTATAGTCGATAAAAATATAAAGAAGTACCTGACTATAACAAATTGCAAACCATTTGATTTATTTATTTTGACTTTAATGTTTTTTACCTTTATATTATACATGTATTGTTTCTGGTAGTTAATGGGCTAGTGACTTGCAACCTTAGGCTAGTAACTTTGGTACTGCCTCTGCCTGGCCTGACGGGCTGGTAACTCATTTTTGTAATTGCACACCCCTGTGTTTACAATCCCTAAACAAGGCAATTCTAATGATCAGCAAAAATTTGAACATCATTTGTTGATTTAGGAGATACAGAACTTTGAATTCTTCTTAATATAAACAGAGATTGTGCCTTGTTTTTGTTTACATATAAAAATATAACATTTTACTTAAATGTTATACTAGATCCTTAAAAATCTTAACTAGATCCAGCAAATCACTATAAACTGTCTAATTGTATTTAGAATTAACTTCTTTATTGAAAAAATATGCTTTGAACAAACATAAATTATTATCTAACCTATGTAAACAAAAACATGGTGCGAGCCTTGTTTACATAACAAAGGTTTGGAGCTCTAAACCTGTCTTTTATCTCGATGACAGAAATTCAATTTTTTTAGAATCATTAAAAATACCCTAGTTAAATAGTTTTAAAGAGATAAAAATGGAAAAAGAATTTGAAATTTTTTAGCTGCAATTTTGTCCATGTCCCTTTAAGACCTACAGTGGATCAAAGAAATCCAAAATCCATGTATTTCTTATTTGTGGATTGAACATGAATTGTGATTAAGATTAGTTTTAATTAATTTTAAAAAACAACAACTCTATTGAAAAAGGATGTATTTGACTAAATGTGTATGTATAAGGGTTTTTTAAAGAAATTTATAGACTGATGCTATGAAATTAATACTTTGTATTAAAGTTGTGAATTTATAAGAAACATAAAAAATATATTGATTCAGATTAGTACTGTATTTGCATATAAACCAAATATTAATTTTTTAACAGTTAACATTCCATTTGTCATCAGTGATTTAGCACATTCTTTGCTGAGTGATTTTTTTTTCTATTCTTAAAAGAATCGATTGTTTTCATAAAATATATAACAATTTTATTTATTTTGTGCACTTTTTTATGAATTTATTTCTCATGGACTCAAGGGTGTGTATCATTACCGCTACATTGTCATAACTGCTACATGCACATAACTGCTACATGCACATTACCGCTACATGCATATTACCGCTACATCCACATTACCTTTACATGCACATTACTGGTACTGACCTTGACCTTTCCTTTGATCTTGACATCACTTTTCTTGAATAAGTGCTTTGCTCATATTTAAAGATACAATTCAAGATAATGTTATCAAACTTCATAAGCTGATACATACTGAAGAGAGCTATTCAACTGCATCAACATTTTTGACCTCGACCTTTCCTTTGACCTTGACCACACTTTTAAATTAATGTTAAGCTCAGTTTTAAAAGAAATCATTCAAGATATTTTATCAAACTTCATAATTATGTTGATACAAATTGATGAGATATTTAACTGCATCAACTTTTTTGACTTTGACCATTCCTTTGACCTTTCTTTTCTTAAATTAGTGTCAAACATCATATGCCAATACATATTGATGTAAGCAATTCAACTGCATCAACATTTTTTAACTTGATCTTCAGTTGACCTTGACCTCACTTTTATCAAATTGCGTTTAAGTCAGTTTTGAATAAACCATTCATAATATTTTTTCAACTTCATATGCTGATACATACTGATGAGAGCTTTTCAACTGCATTAACATTTTTTGACCATTGCATTTCCTCTGACCTTGACCTCACTTTAAAGAAATTAGTGTCAAACTTCATATGTTGATACATACTGATGTAAGCAATTCAACTGCATCACTATTCAAGACATTCTGATCAATTTTCATACACTAATACAAAATTTCATGTTGCATTACTAATTAACCCTCGGGGGGAAGGCTTTCATGTCTTATGGACATATTTCTAGTTTTGGGCAGATATACCTATTGATAAAATGGAGTGGTAATGATCGCCTGAAAATATTATACATTTTTTGCATGATAGTGAGGGAAATATGAAGACTTATTCAGCCAAGAAAAATCAGAAAATATGAAGTTTTACGGCCCGATCATGTGATAACTTAGAACCAATCAAATAATACGTTGTTTAGAATATTTATAATTAGGTATAATAATATAAAATGTAGTGGTAATGAGTTAAATTTTTGCAATGTAGTGGTAATGATGACCTCCCAGACCTAAAAGTCTTTGTACATGTATAATTATGACAATTTGGTTACAAAGATAACATTTTACACATTTTATTTTGCTGACTTTTAATGTTGTTGCCCCCAAAGTGTTTCTTCAAAGAAAGAGAAATTGTACTTTGGCAAGCATTGTAGTATTTTGTTTTCATGTACTTTTTTCTTCAATTTTGTTTAATGATACAGCTTTATTTGTTAATTTTATATAAAATTTATAAAATTGATTTCTGGACAGTATAGAGAGTATATATCTTTTTGACAATCAATATCAGTTTGTATTTTAACTGGATATCAGTATTATGCAAGTTCTACTTGAAATATGAATCAGACTCATATCAATACATATTTGCAGCATAATTGTATGTGTTTTGTTTATTTGCTGGAATAGAGTATATGTGTACACTTAATTTGTTTAAAAAATCATTACAAATGAGAGTCGTTTAATAAATAATGTAACAGGTGGTCTAAAATAAGAAAAGTACATAAATACATATTCCTGATAATTTCAATCCCTCAAGGCATTCCCTGTTACTCTTAGGTCTTGATCTTAGATACAGTTCTTTGTATCCATGAACTGAAAATCTGCATTGTACAATCTTCCTTGATTGTTTTCATGTGTTTTGGGAATAAAAAGGTCTCACAGTGGCTTAGTTCTAACTAATACGAGCGATGGAATCTTTAGGTCACCTACTATCCGTTTTCATCCCTCGTCGTTCGTTGTGCATCGTACGTTAACATTTGAACATTTGAACATCTTCAGCTTCCTCTCTGAAACTACTTAACCAATTTCAACCAATTTTAGCATAAAGCATTTATGGGAAAGGGGAACAAAATTGTGAATTTCATGTCCCCCCCAAGGGCCTGAGGAGTGGGTCCAAAACCACTAAAATTAATGGAATCTTTAAAAATCTTATTCTTTACTCCTGGACATCAAGCAGTCAAACTGTTGGCATGATTGTAATCAGCATTGAGTCGCCTACCAAAATTTTGAAATTCATGGCCCCAGAGTCGGGGTTGTAGTGCTAGGGAGGCTGGCTGCCCGGGCTAAGTAGATTATATAGTGAAAATGCATTGTTTCTTTGAAAATTTTCTTCTCTGCTCCTGGGCATTAAATAAACTAACCAAGTACAAAGTTATGTTGAATAAGAATATCTCTTTTAAAATTGTGAATTTCATGACCCCAGGGTCAGGGGTTCTAGTGCTTGGACGGGGCTCTATAGATAAAATATGTAGTGAAAATGCATTATTTCTTTGAAAATCTTTTCTGCTCCTGGATATTTAAAGCGACACCGTGACGTACAAAGGGGAAAATTGACAAATGTAGAATTTTTACATGACCCATGTAAATTTTGTTCAATTCCTAAAGGTATTAGCTTTCAGAAAATTACAGGTTTCAAAACCTAAAAATTCTATTTTTATGGAGAAAAATAAAAGTAAAAATAAATTCAGTATGCCCCATAAAGAAAATATTGCAAAATACACTGGTACTTCTATCATGTTGTAAATTTTGAATTTACTAGGGGGAGGTAAGTGCAAAATTTACTACATGATAACTCATGTTGTAAGTTTTGCATTTACCTCCCCATAGTAAATTCAAAATTTACAACATTATACTTCTAACCTCCCTATTGTATGCGTCTGCAGTTACCATGGTCTCAACTATCAGTAGACCAAAATTTTTGTTGTAATCTTTTTTTAAAAATGTTGGAACATATTTCTCACCTTTGCATGCTCCAGTTGAATATTGTATACTACAAGTTTGAGCTAAAAAAAAAAAGTGGCGTGACCTTGACATACACGAAACAATGAAACGGTAAATTATGAGGCACCGTTTTGGTATTTACTGGCAAAAAGTGATATCACCTATTTGAATAGGTGATGTCACTTATTCGAATAGGTGATATCACCTATTCAAGTTAGTGAAATCACCTATTCATTTTCAATAGGTGATGTCGCCTATTCGAAAATGTGATATCACTTATTCGAATAGGTGATATCACCTATTCGAATTGTGATATCACCTATATCACCTGGAAATGAATAGGTGATATCATTTATTCGAATAAGTGATATCACCTATTCGTGCTGAAAAGGTGATATCACCTATTTGAATAAGTGATATCACCTTTTCGAATAGGCGATATCACTTATTGAATTCGAATTGGTGATATCACAAATTCGAATAGGTGATATCACCTATTTGAAATTCTTACAACAATAAATAATGAATGATCCCTATAATATGTAGATTAGCACTGGAACCAAGAAAATTCGGACTACCCAGTTTTCATGCGTTTTTCCAATTTTCCTTAAAGTTTACATGATAGATAAGTGAAATAAATTAATTTGTGAGCAAAAAAAACCTACAATTTCTATTGGGGTTTAATTAAAATTAAATGCAAAACCGTTATCAGTTGTCTCCTAAAATGATGAATTATGAAATGAAAGTGAAAGTAACTAAGATTTAGGGACCTGTGGCAACGCACTTTGAAAACAATACGCACTTTGAAAAAAATTTTCAAAGTGCGTTAAATTTGGGACAAAATTAACGCGCTTTAAAAAAATTTTTAAAGTGTGTTAAATTTGGAACACACACAACGCACTTTGAAAATTTTTTTCAAAGTGCGTTAAGAGTGTACATTAATATTTTTTTACCTTGTGGACATTTAACGCACTTTGAAAAAATATGTATTTTGACAAAAAAACCCTCTATACTTAGATTTTAGTATTTGAGAGAATCAATTTGCATTAATTGTCTTTCGAAAAACGTTTCAATTTACATGTACTCAATTAACCTCATTGGGAACAAGGAGAAGACGAGTAGAAGGACTCTCAACCAAACTCTTTTTTTCTTATACATTGTACTTAGCCGTCTGTAGCAAATTGAAAGTGGACACCCGCCTCAAAGGTAAGCCGCAATTTTCAATGCTTATATATCAATGCAAAACATCTGTGTGCCTAAGACCCCCGTCCCTGTACCGATGTCTATGCTACACCCAAATATATGTATTTGTATGACGTTGAAAACTTTCAATAAATAAGTTTAAATAAAAAATGCACGCAAACTGGAAAAAATAAGTACATGTACAGTAAAACATTTAAGAGAAAGAGAATTTTCAAAGTATGAAAAAATCAAAATCGCTTACTTTAACAGCCTGAAGTGACCTGAGCACGGAAGAGTTATCAAACAGGTTCAATTATTTATCTTTATGGCAAGCCCTTTTACTATTTATTCGTAAAATAAATTTTTCTTTCAATTTGAGAGATATCTCTTTAGCCTATAGAGATATCTCTTTGACTAATAGAGATATCTCTTTAAACAAAAGAGATATCTCTTTTTGATAGAGAGATATCTCTTTTTGTTAGAGAGATATCTCTTTTTGTAAGAGAGATATCTTTATAAGCTAGAGAGATATCTCTTTCAGCGAGAGAGATATCTCTTAAAGTTAGAGAGATATCTCTTTAACAAGTTTAAAAGAGATATCTCTCTTAGTTAGGGAGATATCTCTATAGATTTTCAAAAAGAGATATCTTTCTAAGCTAAAGAGATATCTCATTTAATGAAAGAGATATCTCTTTTCAAATCACCCTTAAAATAACATAATTAATTCTCCCGTTGAAAACGAAAGCGAAACAGGAAGTAATGTTTGTTAAATCATTCGTTTTTTTGATTATTGAAAAAGAAGAAGGAGAAAATGGATTGATTGAGATAGATAAACAACGTTTAATCGCTTTATTGTTTTAGTAAATAACGTACATACAGTACATACAAGCTATTCCAAATGGGTAACGAGCATTTTGTAGCATAAAAGTAAGTTGAAATTGTTTTCAAACTAAATTGTTCTCCAAAGATTGGTTCCATATATTGATTTCAGGCACATGGCATCGTTTTTGAATGGGGGGGGGGGGCGCAACCAGAGAGATTTGTTTTTTATACTTACCAGTAAAAGTTGACCAAACTCGATAATCCTATTTCAGGAGGGTGTGTGTGTTAGTGGCCAATTTTGTTCAAGACCAAATTCCTTTCACTTCCAATTTTTATAGCATAAAATACTACATTTCCATGATATCACTATACTGTTATTCTATACTGTGGTAAGAAGTGGGGGGGGGGGGGGAACAAACCATTAAAAGTAAATTTTCCATGGAAGAGGTATTGTTGCGCACCCCCCCCCCCCCCTCTTGTTGCTACGTGCCTGGATTTAGCTCACGGGGCAGCTGAAGTCGGGATATAGAATGCAAATTTAATTAAAACAAATAGGAAATGCATGTGACCAAATTCGTCAATCACGGAAATACAGGGTCGATTAAACATAATCCTGATAGAATGTTTTTCTTTAATTTGTTAATAGTTTAGAAATAAAAATGTCCAACATTACTTTTTTAATTTACACAGGGATGTAATACTCATTTTCAATATTAACTGTAAGACATTAAACAACACACATGTACAATCAATTTATATTAACTGTAAAGCCTTATGACCCCCTTCCAAAATACTAGTACTCTTACAATTAAGAGACAGACACAGCTAGAACAATCAAACGGTGTCTTCCAACAGGCCCTCACTGGGTCAATAGGACATTCATCATTCTATGATGGAACATTTATCTACTTTTATCATCATATATTTTACAGGGATCCAGGAGGTACCTAAAAAGGGACAATGCCTGGACTGTATGTGCCATTCATTTACATGTACCAGTAAAGATCTGTTACTGAGGCATATCCAATTATTCTTATACTCATGAAGAGTGTGGCAACTTCCAAGTATTGATGCTGGAACTCATTTTAAATCAGGTACAGGATAAATTTTTGGGCTGCACTTTTCTTTACTTCAATATTTCAAACTTACTAGTTCAGTATCCAAGTTCACAAAAGCTCACACACCATGGTGATAAAACTGTTTGTCTAACATTACATCCCAACGATTGAAAATATATGTTGATAGGTTCTCCACAAAAATTGCTATCTGTGCAGAATGTAACTTGTTTGCACATTTGTTTCAACGAACGACAATTTCTTAACAATCCTACAGATTCTACAGAAATTAAAATATTAAAACTCCTTCAAAACAAGATTTGTTCGTGAAACACTTTGCACCTGGCGACAACATTTTTACAAATTCAAAAAATTTATTTTTAGCATCTAGGTCAAGGTCACAAGGTCATTGAAATTGGTGTCATTTGAAAGAGCTTAATTAGTGGAGTATGCATATCATATATGAAGTCTTTATCTTTAATGGTTCAAAATGTATGGCAAAAGTTCAAAATGGTTTTTAAATCGATACAGTCACAGTAAAGGTCACAAGGTCATTGACCTTGGTGTCATTTGATAGAGCTTAATTAGTAGAGAAA